GAGATGCACAAAGGATGACCCGCAGGCTCCTAAGGACACGAAGGCGCTGAGATTGAGAAGGCGGGAGCATCACGCTGCCCAAGGATGTCCTCAGCTCTCTTCCCTTTCATCCATGTGCCCAGCGCCACGGCTCCCGAGCGTGCAAGTGCCTTCCAGGCTTCCTGCCACGGTGGGTCCTGTGTTGGGCTCCCTTCGGGGCCTCTTGGTTTCCGTAGCGTAGGACCCCCCTGCTCAGTTTCAGTCGGCTTTTGCATCGCTGCGACCAAATGTCTGACAAGAACAACGCAGAGGGGCTGGGGATGTGGCTCAAGCGGTAGCGCGCTCGCCTGGCATGCGYGCGGCCCGGGTTCGATCCTCAGCACCACATACCAACAAAGATGTTGTGTCTGCCGAGAACTAAAAAAATAAATATTAAAAATTCTCTCTCTCTCTCTCTCTCTCCTCACTCTCTCTTAAAAAAAAAAAAAAAAAGAACAACGCAGAGGAGGAAAAACTGAGCTGGGGCTCACAGTTTCAGAGGCCTCAGTCCACAGATGTCAACTCCCAACGCGAGGCAGCAGCTGTGTCAGCAGGGCCAGTGGAAGAAAGCTGCTCTGCTCGGCTCCTGCTGGGGTCAGAAGTGGTGGGGGAGGACCCCCAGGGAAGGTGCAGCCTTCYAGTGCATGTCCCTTGGTGACCCACCTCCTCCAGCCTTGCCCCACCTGCCCACAGTTACCACCGGTCAGTCCATTCAAACTAGGGTGGACTGACCTCTGGAGATCAGGAGTTTGGGGGACACCTCAGTGTAAAGCATAACAGGAAGGTTCCAGATGTTCCATAAAAGGCAGAGGAAAAGGTTTGGTAAGAGAGTTGCACACGACTGAACTTGGTTCTGGATGTGTTAACCTGGAGGTGTCCCAGCACATCTGGGAGAGACCCCAGGAGCCTGGTTCTGTCAGACAAAGATCAGCCATGCAGGACATTAAGCTGAGGTGCCCCCCAGGCATTGCCCTTGGTTGGAAACCCGGGCACTGAGTCCTAGGAGCGCTGGACCTAGAGATGGCTCTCGTCACACTGTAGGCAGGGGCTTGGGATCCAGACTTTGGCCAGCAGTGGCCACACCTCCTGGGTTGTCCACTTGCAGTGGACAAATGCAAGGGCCTCCTGAGGAGCATGCTGCCTGGGCAGGGAGTGTCCACCATCACTGGCTACAGGAGGGTGCTGGTCATGGCAACGCGGCCTCGGGAACAAGYAGGACTCATCCCTCTGACTTCTCTGTGGTTCAGTGAACAAGCCCCCCGGGCTCTGCTCTTTTTCTCTTTCTGCACTCTCCCAGCACTGCTAATGTGAGAGATTCTGCTCTACAAGAACCAGGGAACTTGGGGCTGGGCACAGGTGCAGGACAAGGGGACCACCTGGGTCTTATTTTGGGAATAAGGCAAACCTGGGAAGATCTGGTTCCCAGGGACCAGCCCGGATGGTGGGGTTTGAGGCAGAACAGGAGAGGGTTGGCTGGTTTTCTGGTGCTAAGGATTGAACTGAGGTCCTTGTGTGTGCTAGGCAAGCACTCCACCACTGAGCTGCACACCCRGCCCTTGGTATTTTTAATTTCATTTTGAGATAGGGTCTTGCTAAGTTGCCCAGGCTGGCCTCAAATTTGAGATCCTCCTGCCTCAGCCTCCCTAGTAGCTGGGATTACAGGTGTGCGCCACTGTGCTCAGTTTGCCACACTTTTTAAAAGAAAAAAGCTCTGAATTACTGCCAGAGCTGGGTCACTGGGCCCAGGAGAAGGCTGAGGGGTAGGGCGAAGCAGAGGCAGGATGACCCAAGCCCCCTCCCCCGGAGACTGACCTCGAGGGCTGAGAAAAGCAGGGCCAGGCATGTGGAGGTGGACAGTCCAACTTGAGTCTGGGTGCTGTGGGGAGAGAGGGGGCAGGGACAGTTCTCACCCACGCTGCCTCCCAGCAGCCCTAATCTCACTCCCACTTCCCTCTGTCCATGGTCAAAATTCTCCAGCTCTCCCACTCACCCAGTGTCAGCCAGGGCCCTGGGTGCTGGGCTGTGCCACAGGGTGAAGGTTGCTGGCCCTCATGTGGCCAGCGGCACAGGGAGGAGGCTTCTTGCTTCTATCTGGACCCAGCGTGGTCACTCACAGCTGGCAGCTGTCTGTGTTTCTAGTCCAGATAAAACAAACCCTGGGGGCAATTGTGTTCTATAAACTTAGCAAACACTCTGAAAATCAACACCAGATCATTGCTGCTAGGGACAGTACACATCTAGGTTTCTGCAAGCCTCTGGCCACAACGTGACCTTGTYTGAAGTGGTTTTTGGTGGTTTTGTTTTGTTTTTTTCCTTGGGGAGGGGTCCCAGGCTTTGGAACATGCTAGGCGAGTGATTTACCACTGAGCTCCACCCCCAATCCCCTTCACACTTTAAATGTGTGTTTTCTACTTAGAGACAMCTTTCTTGACATGCACYGACTTATTAACATTGAACTCAAGGCGAAGAGCACCATCTCATGTCTGAAGGAAGCTTATTTAACACACTGATTTYCTCTGTGAGCGAGGCACACCACAGCCTTCATACACGTGGAAACCTTAGACAGCACTTCAGTACTATGCTTGGGGGCTACTTTGAACAGCAAATTCACCTCCGCCCCCCCCCCCAAAAAAAGCCCCATGTGAAAAACTTAACACTAAATTAAACACGAAAAGGACATGTGTTTGTAGTAGAAAGCCCAAAAGGMCCGACATTCGGCAACATCTGGCTATTGGAATGTTTATGCTGCTCTGTGCATGTCCACTAATGTGTACTAATGAGCCAAGCCTGAGGCAAATTTGCAAATCATGAATCCACAGATCATAAGGGCCAACAGAGTGCTTGCTTCCATCCCCCACAGGTCTCTTGTTCTGTGTCTTCTTGTTTCTGGGCCAGTGGCATGACCATCTTCTGCCCAATAGAGGGATAATAGCAAGGATTTACAGGGCACAGGGTGAGTCAGGTAGATCTTCCCCTGACATTTGCAGAGCTGAGAAAAAGAGACTTAGGCTTAACCAACTGTCCCAGCTTGTCTAGGACTGAAAATTTTTCCTGATGCAGGACTTAAATCAGGGTGAGTTGATCACCCTCCAAATAATGTGAAAAATACTGCAAAGTTTTATATATATATATATATATATATATATATATATATATATATATATATATGTTGTAGATTGAGACAATACCTTTATTTTATTTATTTATTTATTTATGTGGTGCTGAGGACCGAACCCAGAGCCTTGCGCATGCTGGCCAAGCACTCTACCGCTGAACCCCAGCCCCAGCCCCTGCAGATTTTTAAACTTAAATTGTTTAATATAATTGGAACTTATGGCCTGTTAAATATTTTTATCCAAACAAAACAATTTTCCAAAAGTCAAGAAAAGGCAATAACATTTACCAGAAGATCTGCAACTACACAAATTCAAGAGCAGCATGAAGTGCTTTATATGAAAAATGTTCCCTAGTCTTTCCATACAGCTGTTGCCAATCAATTCCACAGTGTATCATGAGGATCATGAATTAGAGCAAGAGTCACAAGGGAATGAGTGCTTTTCCCCTGGGAGAGGGAACTTCATTAYGCAAGTATTCACTGCCTCCTTCCCATCTCATGAGGGCCTGACACCTACCTTTGTTTTTCCTCTTTCCTAAGGACTTCAGCTGCCAAGGCAGGGTCTGTGTGTACTCCAGCGGGGCATGACAAGCCTTTGCACCACAGACAAAGCAAGCACCCTTTTCTTTTCTTTTTAAAATTTTTTATGGTGCATTATAATTTATAGGAATTCTCACCTTTTCTTTGGTGGGAATAGGTCAAGAGATATAGAGAAGTTTCCCTAGGGCCTGAATGGTGAGCTCATCATTGGAGATGTTTATAATTTAGGGAAACAAGATCTGGATCTTGATTGCAGAAGAGGCCAAGGTGTGGGATCATGAGAGAGAGAGAGAGAGAGAGAGAGAGAGAGAGAGAGAGAGAGATATATATACAGGGACCCAGGGCTAAGGGTTATGCTGCCAGGCACTGTGCTGGGTACTCTGTCCAGCACATTGAACTTCACAATGACTCTTTTCTCCTCCAGGATACAGAGAACTTAAGCTCTCAGAGGTTAAGCCATACCCACTAGGTCTATGGCAGAGCTCTGCCTTGCACCTTCTGTGGGGATGCATCAAGAAAGTGACCCCTACAAGGAACACACCTTCATCAGACATGTGATCGGCCAACACTCTGAACTTGGACTTGTCAGCCCACAGAATGGTGAGAAGTAAGTGATTGTGTATAAGCCACCTTGCTGGTGGTATTTTGTCACACCAGCCTGAATGGGGCACAGACAGGGCACCAGAAAGCATCTAGGCTTCAGCTTCCCAAACTCCGCCCCCCACCCTACACTGTCCTCTACTCACCCCCCTCAGCACCTGTCAATCACTATTTTTATTTATGAGTGATACTTTTGAAATGGAAACTTCATGTCATTTTCATTAAGTGAAAAATCCCTACCACTTGCCATGAGTCAAAGACAATCACACCAAAACGAACGAACCACCAACACAAACCCAAATCCAAACCCAACCAAAACCAAACCGGCAAGGAAACAAGCACACTAAATTCTATTCAGATGGTGGTGCCTACTTTAGGCTGGCTCTCCCTGCGATACGGGCAAATGAGAAAGAGTCACCGGGATGTTAAGAACCCCAGTGGGCACCACCTGCGACTTTCTTCCGGACTCTGGAAAGGTGGTCCCCTCGGTGCAGAGCGCTGGATGCTTGGAGTTTTGGACCACTCTGGAGTTGGGCGAGCCCCGGCTCCGCCCCCGGCCGGGCTGGAGGGCGAGGGGGCGTCCTGCCCGCCCATTGGGTCTGCCGCGGGCTCCTTCGCATGGTCCGAGGGGGCGGGACTGGAGGGTGACGTCACGCAGGGAATGCCTAGGGGGCTGCACCGGCTCCGGGCTGGGAGCGCCGGCCGGTGCCCAGTGGAGTGGCCGCGGCCTCCTCCCGACTCGCACCCAGATCCTGCCCCGCAGTGTGCCCCGCCGCCGCCATGTACGACCCCCAGTGCGGCTGGAACCTGTCCTTCGGGGGCAGCGGCTTCTTGGGCTTGTACTACGTTGGGGTGACCCACTGCCTGAGCGAGCGCGCCCCGTATCTGCTGCACAACGCGCGCATGATCTTGGGCTCCTCGGCCGGGGCGCTGCACGCCGCCACCTTCCTGTCCGGGATCCCGCTGGGTGCGTCCCGGGCCGCCGGCTCTCCGCGCTGGGAGGGAGCGTCTGCTGGGCTCGGATGCCGCGATCCCCAGGGGCCCTCGGAGGAGCCGGGAAGGGTCACTGGACACTGCGAGTGCATCTTGTAGGTCCCCTACCCAGACCGATTGCCTCCTTCGCAGCGTCCTTTGGAGTACTGCAGTGTCGCTGGAGCTTGAGGGAGCTGTCACTCCACCCGGGAAGGGGGAGCACCCTGGAGAGGCTTTTCGGGCCAGCGCGGAGGTTCCCAGAGACATTTGCGCCTTCGCACCTGAGGCCCTGTGTGGTGCCCGGGCTTGAAGGGAGCTCCCCGCCCCGGGACTGAGAGTGAAGTATTTCGGAGGAGAGGGAGGGACCTGGGGTGTGGGGTGAGGCTGGTCCCTGAGGTCTGAGTTGCCGAGGGGCTGATGGGCCCTGGATGTGACCGAGTACAGATTTTGACTCCCAAGGTGGGCGTGGATTGGAGGGACTGGAGACATCCGGACCCCTGTCCAGCTCTCCGGGGCAACCTTTGGGTGGACTCCGAGGCAGACCAGCTGGTTTGGAGTCCTGATCCCCCCAGGGGCAGAGGGTGGCATAGGAAAGTTGTGAACTCTCCCTCCTTCTCCAGTGTTTGGGACCCTTCCTGGAGGAGTTGGAATGGATTCTTGGATATTCCCCGTCCCATCCTCTTTCCAAGCCCCCACCCCACCCCAGCTCACTGTCACTGTCAATGACATCCCAGACATTTGGATTTTGGCCTGCTGGAACATTTATCCACGTGGTTGCTGTGGGAAGGGAGGAGCTGGGTTTGTTTCTCCCCAGCCCAAACTGCTGGTCTTGGCATCCTTCCCAGGACCCACATGCCATGGCTCAGGGGTTTTGAGCCAATAGGCAGGGTGTGGGGCAAGTGGAACAATGGAACTGATGATACCCAAAAGTGCCCAGGACAGTAATGCCCCTTATCAGTTTATCTGGGCTCTTTAACAATTTACTCTTTGGGGAGTGACTTGGCTCATTGGGGAAGCCCTTGCTGGTAAGCAAAGCTGTGCCATTGGGCAGGATTAGTGAGCAGACCCTGTGCTGACCGGGATTTGGGGATTAGAGACAGGCTGCCCTGGCTGTCCGCCTGCTGGCTGTCTCCCTTGTGAGGGAGAGGGGAGCAAAGGGCAGACAGTTTGGCCTCTAGGAGGATTAGACTGGCCAGGTGACCATCTGCACACCCTGGGCTTTAGCAATGATAAGAGCCCGCTCTTGTATTCTGGGGTGATCTCTGTGCCTCTGCTTGGACAGATGTTTGATTGGGACAAGGTTTGTTTGATTACTTGTTCATTGGCACTGGGGATTGAACCCAGGGATACTCTACCACTGAGCTTCATCCCTAGCCTTATTTATTTATTTATTTTTATTTTGGGACAGGGTCTCCCTAAACTGTCCAGCCAGGCCTCCAACTTGTGATCATTCTGCCGTAACCTCCTGTGTAGCTAGAATCACATGCATGTGCCACCATACCAGGCTTTGGACGAAGTTTAAATGCACTGACCCAGGGGGCCTGAATGATACTAACTCCTTTACAGAGGGGTTCCTAACTAGGCAGAGGAYAGCACAGCCTGGGGCTATGGCTGTCAGGGCACATGGAGGCGCAGGGGCCATCAAGTTCTGCAAAGTGGATCTCAGGTTTTGTCAGGAGCTACTCCCTGGAGACTCTGGTTCCTGTTCTAATCCCCTGTCCTACAGGAGGAAGCTGCCGAGGAGCATTTCCCAGGCACAGGTCCTCAGAGCATCTGAGTGGAGGCTGGGTTTGGCAGGAGAGATAGACAGACTGCCAGCAGTGGCAAATTCACCGCGCTGGCCAGGCTCAGAGCTCGTGGTCGGGAGAAGGGGTGGGTTGTGAGTCTGTGAGTTGAGGTCAGGGTTGGATCAGAACAGGCTGCCTGTCCTTGGGCAACCCTGRATTTATGGCTGGCCAGGTCTGAGGCTGGACGAGATGGTCCATGTACAGAACAGAGGGGGCCAGACCACACCAGGCTCTACATCCGCATTCGGTCTGGTATTTCTGGCATTAGAAACTTAAGGTTGAGACTAATTATTTATTAGTGGTCTCTTCTGAGTGGAACATCTTGCCRATCATATTTTACCTAATCTCTGTCTCTAAAAGTTGGATAGATTTTGTCCTACCTGGGGAAGGTGGTGTGACATTTGGGCAGGTGGTAAAGCACCTTGCTGAGGTCACTCCACTAGCAAGACCTGGAGATTCTAACTTGTGTGCAAGGCTACATACATTCTTTCTCCTGCACCCTCCAAAGTGGAGACCATCGGCGCGGAGGCTGAGATACTGCTGTGTTCTGGCTCAGGCTTTGTGGGCATTGCGTTGGGGTGCTGTCAGACCCACAGGCTGCTGCAAGGGGGAGCCTTTTCCTGTGGCTGAAGCAGCACTGTCCAGTAGAAATGCACCATAAACCCCGTGAACCGTTTCATGTTTCCTGGTGGCCATGTTGACTAAAGTCAAAGACTCAGAGAAATGTCACTGAGTCCACTAAGCTCAACATAGTATCATTTTCACAKCTAGTCAGTATAAATCATCATTAATGAGGTATTTCCTACTAAGCCTTTGAAATCCAGAGTATATTTTACGGGTCTTGGTTTGGACTAGCCACGTTCAAGGGCTGAGTGGCCACATGGGGCTACCGTATGTGTAGGGTTGCAGCTTCTTTGTGAATGCTTTCTGAGTGGCAGACAGTCTTCTGGTCTTGACAAAAGGTCTCTATCTCCAGGGTGGTAATCTTTTTCTATGCATCTGTCTCCTGTCCCCAGACCGGGTCCTGCAGATCATCATGGACCTCACCTGGAAGGCCAGGAGACAGAACCTTGGTGTCCTGCACCCATCCTTCAACATGGGCAAGTACCTCCGAGATGGCCTGCAGGAGCACCTCCCAGACAACGTCCACCAGCTCATCTCGGGCAAGATCGGCATATCGCTCACCAGGGTGTCTGACAGGAGGAACGTGCTGGTGTCCGACTTCCAGTCCAAAGCTGAAGTGGTGGACGTGAGTGCTTTGCTAATGTGGGTGTCCTCACGTGAGAAAGCAACACCCAGGGCTCTCGTGGGCCCTGCACAGGGCGACATACACTCTGTGCACACTGGGTGATTTGGTCTGCCCTGGCCGCATGGCCACACTGTCTARGGCCCTCTCCTGGCTCAGTTCCAGAGCTCCGCTGGCTCTCTGTAGATTTTATAATGAGGAGGGCTTCTCAAGCCAAGCCCCCAAGGTGGGAGTGCATCAGCATTTGGGAAGCACTGTTCTAGCCACCCARTCCACCACTGTGTCCCACCAGTGATGACCCAGTGTGGCTGTCCTGGAGGTCAAGCCCCGGAGGGTAAAGTTGGCAGTGTGGTTGAGAAGTGAGCCTTGGAGCATGTGTTGGCCAATTGCTCATCCCCCGTGTAGTAAGGCACCTGCTCTTGCAGAGAGCATTGAAGGTTGGCGCCATGTTTGGAGAAGGCTGCAGAGGCCTGGCTTTCACTCTTGTCTCTGCAGGCCCTGCTCTGTTCCTGCTTTGTCCCCTTCTACTGTGGCCTGATCCCTCCTGCCTTCCGAGGAGTGGTAAGTGTGTGTGGGCGGCAGAGAGGGCTGCAACCTGGAGACCTCCTTTGAAATGCTCACTGCTCCCACCTACAAGGTGCGAGGCCCAGGTGCCCCCCGACCGCGTCCCCATGCGGGTCCCCAGGCCTCTCAGTCTTGCARACAGAATCCTTAGCAGCACCAGCTTCCAGGCACTGGGCAGCAAAACCTCCTCCATGTGTAATTAATGACCTTGCTGTGGGTAAGGTACACTGCAGGCTCACTTAACCCGCTGGTGAGCAGCGCAGGTAGGTTCCCACTGGCCTAGTTAAGGCGTCAGAGGCTTAAGAATCTACTGCTCCTAGGGTAGAGCTTTGTTCTCCAGAGAAGGCAGAACTGTCGTGTTTTCTAGCAGCAGCAACAAAAATCTGTACGTCTGGTCTGACACCCGTCTCTGCTCTGTTGTGTTTGCTCTGTTGTGAAGCACAGGAGAAAGTTGGGGCTGTGGAAGGCCCCCTTTTAGGGTCATTTTTAAACTCATGAGAAAGTAGCAGAATGATAAGACCCTGCCAGCCCCTCAGGCAGAGTGAGCTGGTGGTGGTGGTGGATCGACCCTCCTGAGGCGGGAGGTGCATGGCCACTGTGTCAGGGCTCTGCTGTCCCCCACCACAGGGCTTGTCTCCATTCACTGCAAGGCAACTCCTGTCCCCACAGGTCAGTACCCAGAACAGGTGTCCACAGGGTCAATTGGGGACCTGGCCATTGAGTGACCAAAGCACATTTTGGATTCTGATGTTGGCCCCTTGTCCTGTTAGTGGCTTCAATATGTATTTCATCTTCTCAGAACTAAGCAGAGGGCCCCTGGGGCACTGTGGTGGTGACCCCAGATTCCCCAGTGCCCATTTCTGGCTTTTCCTCCTGGCAGGAAAAGCAGCCCAGAGCCCCCTTGGTGCATGCTTCCAGGTGGTGCCCCAGAGCCCTGCTCATCCCCCACCTCAGGAGTTCCGTGCCAGACACATGTCCATCCTGATTTACAGATGAGAAAACTGAGGCCCGGGCTACAGTGTGGTCACTCCAGGCTCTGTGGGGCAGACACCTGGAATCCAGTTCTCACTCTCCCTCAGCATAGCTGTGACACTTTGGACGTATTTCCGAACCGCTCTGAGACTGACATTGCAAAACGGGGTTCTTCACGCGGCATCAGGGTAGATGGAGAAGAGCCTGAGGTCAATAGTGCAGGTCCAGCTTAGACCAGAGCCTGCCAGGGGCGTGGCCAAGGTGGGCTACTTTATCATCATTGTCATCGATCTCCTGCCCCGGGCCAGAGGCCGCACCTAGAGATTGTCCCGTCATTAGGTCAGGTGGACACAGTGACCACCCAGTCAGCATGCTCAGGGGGGTCCTGGCAGAAACAGGGACAGACCTTCCTGAGAGTCAGCCAGAGCATTGCCCTGGCAGAGCGCTAAGCACCTGGAGAGGTTCCACATAGCAGAGGAATGTCCTTGAAGGAAAGATGGTCGCCCCTCCGCAGCCTTCACCAAAGGTTCACATGCCAGGTCCAYGCCCCTTCATGCCCACGAGGCTCCC